AAAAGCCGGTAATGGCAAAATACTACTCTGGGCCGCAGAGAAATATATCCGCTCTACGAAGTGGCAAAAGAAGAATAACCGACGAAGGAGGGAATATTTTAATACTATGATTTCAGCTGTACGACTAGCTTACGTTTTAACTACAATAACCTTTTTCTGCTATAGCCATTATGATTTCGTAATGTTTTGAAATGTGCTGATAGATTGCGTTAAACACTAAATGCTTAGATGTACTAAAAACTTTTTTTTTAAAAAAAACAAAAAACTTACCATGTTGAAATAGATGCGCATCTACGATGACCGTATGTCTTTTATGCCGTCAAATACAATATATTGTTTCCTTGATAAAATTGTAAATATTCACCGTGGAATTTGATCACTCTCCGAATTACTTCGGAAGTGTGCTTGTGAAACCCTCTGCCTCTGGGCAGAGAGGAACCTAGACGAGGTTATGCCGAAAGGCAGAGTCTTATCTGAGGTGGTAGACAGCTACCCGACCGCGTTTTTACGGGGTCTACGGGGAATTTTTGACCGAGCCTACGAGCTCGGATACCCCACTATAAACTTGTGCCGCATCCGACCACGTGGGGCGATAGGTGAATATTTCATCGTGGAATTTCTGCTAAAAAACGTAGAGTTAATCGACTTTAAACTCATTTTTTTCTCTTGACTCTTTAATCAGCAATTCTGTTGAAATAGAATATAAAATTAATGGCCTATATTTCTAAATGTCTTCTTCTCAGCCATTGTCTTATTTGTACATACCAAACTAGTGTTGTTTTGTTTTAATTCTGTAAAGAAAACGCCTAATTCGGTACCATTCACAGTATTGGTTGGCAAAATGTGGTTGGAAGTTCTATATTTTTACAAAGTCATAAAAACGCTTTCTTTGTGCAAGTTGATTTCTCCTTCATGTTTTTACTTAGTGGTTATCGAATATTAATTAGCCACCACGCGTTTATCCGCACGTAACAACAGAATAGTCCTCTTCTATTTACTGACTATAAAAAAAATGTAAGCGTAAAGCCGCCATGTTTACGTCTAACTTTATTTATCTTGATTTCTACTATGACATTGTTTGATCTCCATTTTAGTTCTATTCACTTGATGTTTTGTTAAATTGCATTCAAGCACGTTTAATCCGTACGGCCGTTGCCATCGACATCACGATGAAAATAAAATAAAAAAAGGAAATACAGGACCATCGTAGTCCGATAGACGCATGAAGTCGAAATTGGGAACACAGAAGTGTAAAGATCGATATTTCATTAATGAGTCTTACAGTTCAGAGATGAGGATCATAGAATTCACTGACTGGCTTCTTATCAAAATGGCGCGGATTTGTTTGATAATTAAAAAAAATAGCAAAAGCAGACGACAGGCGTTAATTTAAATAACTCTGAATAGTTTCCAGCCGAGAAGACTTATATTTGTAAATTATCGATTAATGTTCACATATAAGTTTCTACTTAGCTTCGAGATGAAGCCAGATTTTTCACGCATTCATAAATTGTTGTTTCGTAACAATCAAAAACTGTTCCAAATCGATGTGACTCTGTGAAAATATTGTGTTAAAAATGCAACCATTCACTTTGATGTTGTCATTTTGATTTTAAGTCGAAGGTGAGGAAATGCGTAATTTGATTTCTAACAGGAAAAACACGATTAACACTAAAAATAACAGAAGACTGAGATTAATACTGACCAGCAGCAAAAATCCACACTTTAGTCTCTTGATTTCGAAATAAAAATACGAAAATGGGAAAAGGAGAAACTGCCGATTGAACACCTCAATGTGAGCTAAATTCTGATTAAATAACGTCAACGAAAACGGTTGATTACAAGATCAGGTGTGAAATAATATTTTTTTGTTTTTTTGTTTTTTGGGGGTTTTTTGTTACAAATTTTTAAATGGCTACATTTAATATAATAATAAATAATACGTTATTTATCTAGAAGTAACTAATTATAAAAATAATGTATTTTAATTGGACATTGTAACTTTTGCAAAGACATTTTGAATATTGACAATTTAATAGAAGTTAATTAAGCAGCACTAGTCTCTCGCTAATATTTATAAATAAATTATGCCATCAAATCTTTTATCGAAAGTTAGTTAATCATTTCCTTCTAACTTATAAATTCGCGTACGGCCAAATCGTGCCAGTGTATTCTATCTTACATTAGCATAATAATGCATTCTACACTATTATGAATGCATAAGCTATTAAGAGGCTTTAATTGCACAACAATGATTTAGTAATCGTTACTTAGATGTGACACTGGGGCACATACTCAATTGTAATTTATTTTGCGAAAACATGTTTACTAACCATTAACAGTACATCGAAGTCCCCTTAAATTAACAGTAATTTAAAGCTTTAATCAGCTTTTATATATATATTACTAAAAGGTGGCCTTTACAACATAAATGGTAACCATTAATTTGCATAACAATTTTTATTTTTCTCTGTCTATAGGACGCGTGTCCGTCTCGTTAATAAATTTTACACATTTGATCTTCTTTTCCCAGCCGAAACACCTCGTCAAAGAGCAGGCTAAGTGTGCAAAGTCTGGCACTACAAAACCGCGATGTCAATGACCTTTGTGGAATAGGACGCAGAGTTCTTCCTTTTTGGGAAGTGAAAAAAAAATCTAATGACGGATGGATGAACATCTGATTTTCACAAGCAACATGACTGGAATTTTCAAGTGGCCAATTCTTCTGGTAAGATATGGAATGAGCTGCATAACCCAAGTGTTGACATAGATAACTTTTTTTTTTAATGTTAAGTTTTATTTTAACATAATACAATATATTTGCATTTAAGAACATATTTTTTGATTTGATAAAATTTCATAATGTGGATATAGCATACATGAATATGAAATATTTTATTGTTAATTATTCACAGACATTTTCTCCTATCAATGATTAAAAACGGATTCAAGCGAATAAATTCTCAAGAAAAGGTTAAGAAAGAAACCTCTATCGATGATAGAAAGAGTTATAAAAGTTAATGGACTTGAATTTTCTTTCCTGAAAAATTGTTATAAGAAAATTATTTTATAAATTTAAATTGGAATAATGCCAACTGTTTTAGTCAATGGATTCTGAATGTTTCTTGTATGGAAATGGCCTAATTTCACAATTAGCACGAGAAGAACGTTTTATACAAGATGGTAGAGTATTAGCAAATAACAAAAAAAAACACGCCAATGCAAGACTTCCAACAGTAACAACAATAGGTAACACATGTAAACTAGAAGGAAAAATATGAATCTAATAAGGATTTTGACTTTCTACACTACCTTAAACAAAAGGTTTAGAAGGAAATTCCCATTAATGTTAAAAAGAGCTATAATAGTTAATGAACTTGAGAAGTCTAATTCCCTGAAAAAACATTTTAAGAATAAGATTTTATAAATTTCAACTAATAGTAATACTGTTTCTGTCAATGACATCTGTATGGAAATGGCTACTTTCACCATTTCTATAAACATTATTATGCAAACTGAAGCAAATAAAAATTTATGAAAAACTGTTTTAAGAATAAGATTTTATAAATTTCAACTGACAATAATAACTGATTCGGTCAATAACTGCTGAACGTTTCCTGTATGGAAACGGTTATTCTAACTCGTTTAGGAGAGGATCATATAAAATATATAGAATGTGGAACATTTTTTCTTTAAGTGTGTTAGTATATATACATTTACAAAATGGAATTAAGCCTATTTTCTTTCCTTCTTTTTTTTTTTCGATGTGATCCCGCGAGGATTCGAATGTCTGTTATAGAGGTGAACAATAGATTCTTTACTAAAATGGTAAACATTTTGCTTAAAACGAGAATTATTAGCAACGTAATTTATACCATGATTCTGCTTGTTCTTTAGTTAGCACGTACATTATTCGTATTTATATAATGCTCGTTATCATCGAATATAAATAGATAAATAGGAACAGAATACAATAGATAGATAGATAAATAGGAACAGAATACAATAGATAGATAGATAGATAGATAGATAGGAACAGAATATGATAGATAGATAGATAGATAGATAGATAGATAGATAGATAGATAGGAACAGAATATGATAGATAGATAGATAGATAGATAGATAGATAGATAGATAGATAGATAGATAGATAGATAGATAGATAGGAACATCACGTGGACAAAGAGTACAAAGAAACGTTCAATGTTGATGCCTAGGGAAGAAATCAATTATCCAAAAAACGTATATTTTCCAAAAGGTAAAAGATACAGGCGAACACACATGCAAGCACACACACACTCATCAAGCGCCGCCAACAGTCAACGTGAGAAAAAGGGCAAAGATGTTCAAAGAAGCTAAAAGAAACTACGATTAGAAAAATGAAGGCAGAAAAGAAGAATTATTAAAATTAAAAAAAAACTAGCAAAGGAAAAAAAGAAATATAAAAAAAGAAGCAGTGAGTCGGCTAAATTTTGATCTTTTACTATAACCGTCTGTGTACGGCTTCTATGGCTGCCAGCCATTTTCATAGCGTAACACCTTTACAATCTGAAATATGGGCGCCCACTTAAGCGGCACATCAAAATAAAATAGGCAACCAATTAATGAAGCCCGCCCCCTTCTTAAGTATGTAAACAAATAAACAAACATTGGCTATCTGATGTCGCTAAAGTAGAGATGGTTTGTTGCAACAGTTTGTCACGCTTCCATGCACAGGAGGAGACACGACACAGAGACAAGGAATCCTTACTCTTTCATTGAGAGAAAAAGAAAAGTATTCCCAAACTGAACGAGTTATCTCCCCGCTGTGCCAATATTTCCAATCTGGTTCATCACCCGACAGATGTGCCAAATCGATAGAAATAGAAAGATTAAAAAAAAAAGTTTAGTATCCAAGGTTACAGATAGTTCAAACCCCGATGAGTTAATGGAACAAAGCCCACTCTGGAAATTAAGGCTGTTCTCCAGTATGTATTCCCTCCCTCGTATCTTCTGTCATGTCTGCGGTTAATCAAAGATTGACGACAGAAGGCCATATGGCTTCCCTTTCAGGTACTCTAGTGTCCTACGTATTTTATTTTTATTTTTTTTTGTGTGTCTTTTTTATTTTAGTTTTGTTGTGCGTGCGTGCGTGTGTGCGTGCGTGCTGGTGCCTGGGGGTGGGGGGTTCTCGCGTGTGTTTAAGGCACCGTTTTTTATTCGACATTTCTTTGTTTCTTTTTTCTTTCTACCTTTTATTTCTTTGTCGATTTTTTTTTTATTTTTTCATATTTTCTTCTCTGTTTTCTTCCAAGCTTTGAATTAAAAATCAATTTTTCCACACATCTATTGTTTGTTTTTATTAACCCCTACCGCGGCGTAGACGTGTGTATACGTTTTTTACTGAAAGTATCTTTTTCAGACACGGACGAATAAACACGTCCCAAAACATACCGTTCAAAAACAAGTTACAGACGTGTTTATACGTCGATCTTGATTCTTTTTATGCCTTTCTGTAATTGAAACGAGTCTAAGTGTCAGTTCATATTTCTGGTACAGGTGTTAACCGCCACTCGGATACTTCAAGGTGCATCAGTTTCTTACTTACTATATTGAAAACAAATAAAAAATTCGTCTTAAAATGAAACATTTTTCACAAAATAATTGGCGAGGAAGGGGTTAATTATAATTTATTATTATTTCCTTCGAATTTTAATCTTTTTTTATTATTCATTTATTCTTATTGCCCCACTTCTTTTAGTCTTTTCTTTCTTTACTCTTTGTCGTTTTTCTGTCTCGATTTTTCCTATTCTTTTCTAGATGATCAAAATCTTTCTTCTTACTTTGTCTTCATTCTTTATATCTAGATCTTTCCTTCCTCAGTTTTATATTTAATTGCTGACGATTTGAATTCAACTTATTACTCTATGTGTGTATGTGAAAGAAACTGTGTGTGTGTGTGTGTGTGTGTGTGTGTGATTTTCATCTTCTGCATCCGTCTCTTTTTCTCTTTCTGTTCGTCTACCTTACAACCTGTTTTGTTTTTAACCCTTAAAAATAAACGTTTGGAAATCACAAGTTGATGAACATTCTTCTTTGCTTCCTAGACTTTATGAATTTAAGCGCAGTACTAGATTGCCGGCAAGGTCTCATCATTTTACAGTTGAAATAGCTAAATGTAACCATAAATTCTGTGCCAACAGTTACTTCACTCACACTCGCTTGTGGAACTCTCCTTCGGCTTCTTGCTTCCCAGCCAACTTGATCTTCAAAAGTTTAAATGCAATATCAATTGTTATCTTCTGTCATCTTAATTCCAGTTCTTTTATTGCTCTCTCTCCTTAATAATGTTTTTTTTTTTTTCATATTCTCTAACATTCGGTAAGCTCCTTGCGCTTAGTGGCTTTATTGTTTTGCTTGAAGTAAAATGATATTAAAAAATTTCAAAGATAACTAACAAAATTTTCATAAAAAAGAACAGTAATACTTGTTAAAAGAAAAATGCCTGAAGAACAAACTCAACGTTATCAAAAAATCAATGCCAAAATAATGACGAGAGATGACATTTAGATAAGTGTTGTGCTCATCATTTTCGTTGGTATCAACGCCAGCCTTTACTACTCATTTCTTTTGTGGATAAAACTCTTTAAAGAATGATTGTGATGATTTACATGGTACATTCATATCGAATGCGCTGTGCAGGTAGTGCTTGCGATAAATAGCAGGGCAAACTGAACTCTTTATCCACAGTTAACAACCAGCCTAGAAGAAGAACAACTCCGAATTCTAAACTTAGGTACCTGATGATTAGATATAAAGTGCAAATAATATATCCGTAAAACAAAACAAAAAGATTATAAATTACAACAATTATGGATAATCAAATCTATCCCTTTCTATAAACATGGTACGATGGATAAATTGTCGTCTAAGTTACGCAAAAATGAAAATAACAGAAATCTCATTGTAACAGATATAATTACCAAAAATTACCAAAAAATATTTTGATAACTTCGGAATCTCCTGCAACTCTTCTGGACGGTCTTTGGTGTTAAAAAGTGTTTTCTTGGCCTCTCGCTCAACTGCCCTCTCCCCCTCCCCCCACACACACATAATAATCAAGGGGGGTGCAGTCTGAGATGTAAGGGGTGATGTAGTTGCATAAATTTTCTGACAGCCATTACTGAGTTCTCCTGCTTGTATAGCATGGTACAGAGTCCTGTTGCCAGGCATAGGGTCTTCCAGCAGCTCCCCTTTTGATGTATGACTCCGTGTTGAGTCTGAGGTCCACATCAACAAATTTGGGAGTTCTTTTCTTATCAGAACTATCAGAGTGATTTTTCTGAACTGCCGTAGCTTCGTAATCGCCATTAGACTAATTCATCTCATTCCTAATCCTGTGCACTTTTCACAGATTGACACCCAAACACTTTGAAATGTTCGCATTGGAGCTTACAGGGTGAATGCCAAGCAGTACAGCACGCTGTTTCCAAATTTCTGACGGTTTGAATTGCGTCATGTTGCTTTTTTTCTCAGGGGACGGTGCCCAACGGACCCTACTATACTGTGCAGTAGACAAACTCAAAAACAAACATATCATAGGTATTTCATCATCTATGTATCTATCTAGATATTTCATCTATCTATTTAGGTATTTTGTCATCTATCTATCCATCTATCTATTTTATCATCTATATATCCATCTATCTATCTGTCGAGGTTTTTGTCATCTATCTATATATCTATCTATCGAGGTATTTTGTCATCTATCTATCTATCGAGGACTTTTGTAATCTATCTATCTATCGAGGTCTTTTGTCATATACCTCTCTATCTATCTATCTATCTATCGAGATCATTTGTCATCTATCTATCGAGGTCTTTTGTCATCTATCTATCTAGTCTTTTCTTATCTACCTATCTAGGTCTTTTCTTATCTACCTATTTTGTCAACTATCTATGAATTTATCTAGATCTTTTGTCATCTACCTATCTATCTTGGTCTTTTTTCAACTATCTACCTACCTAGGTCTTTTGTCAACTATTTATCTAGGTCTTTTGTCAACTATCTACCTACCTAGGTCTTTTGTCAACTATTTATCTAGGTCTTTTGTCAACTATCTATCTATTTATCTAGATATTTTGTCATCTGTCTATCTATCAAGGTCGTTTCTTTTCTATCTATTTATCTACGTATTATCTTTCAGTTTGTTCACCTCTCCAAATATCTCTTTAAGGTAATAGTTCTTAACCTTTATTTTATTCCTCTCTGCTCTTTTCCATCCTCATTTCCACTTTATTCTTTATTTCTCTTTTTCTTTCTTTCTTTCTTTCTTTCTTCTTTCTTTCTTTCTAAACCTTGTTCTTCCTCCTTTCTGTTAGCTTCTACTTCTCTTTCTCCTTTTGAAGTCCTTTCCAATCACTTTGCCCTTTCATATCCTTTATGGCTGCCTCGATAGTTTGCTGTTCGAATTGCCCAACGCATCAATAATCAAAAGATCAACCAGCTCTGTTCTCTTTCAAGTCTGCTTCGAAAGTATGGTGTTGACTGCCTTTGTGATGAAAACGCCTCGACGTGACAAACGGCAAATAGCATTGATTTCCAAACCGAACATCACGTCTTGTTTATTAGAATCAGCATCTTAGCATTTATTTTGCACATTTTAACGTAATGCCATTCTCTGTCAATACACTTAATTCAGTGGTGAATATTAAACACATAGAGTGAACATTACACAGTAAAAATTTCAGATCAAAATTCTTCTAATATCAACATATGGGCTAAATTGATGAACAATCATCAGTTGATGTAAGAAAAAGTATTCGTCTCTTTGGTAGCATCTTCCACGTTGATCTAAGAGAGGTGGGGTCAGTGTAGTATCGACACCAACATACCAATGGTGGCGGAGATTGGTCAATTTTTGTCTTTGTCTCACATGCATGTGTATGGGCGCCCTAATAATAAAACAAAACCTTCTGACACATCTTGCCTTAGTGAGGAGGTCAGGTAAATAAAACCATATATAGGTATCGCCTCTAATTTGCCGAAAAAGAGCAGACCGCAATAAAAAAATATAAAAAAAAAGGCCTCAAACTTAATGAAAAAAAAATTTATTGTCTAAATGTTTATGGTAAAGAGGAAAGTCCAGAGTATTTTTTTTATTGTTTTATTAAATTTTTTCATCCTTCTTAAAACATCCGACGTTTTGTTTTTCTTGTATCAGCGGTATACCATTAAAAAACATTAACTTAACTGTGGTGATTTGTTTTGGAGGTGCTAACTGATTGATAAATCGATATATTGACAGCTTAGATCAAAGGAAGTTACGGACGGAAGAACAGAAGTGATATCATTTTTTTAATCTTAAGTGAACTAATTTTAACTACACAGTAATTTTTAAAAATTAATGAATACTTTCAGAAATCTAATATTTATTGATTTTTTTTAATTTTTTAGGTACTTTAGCTTTACATTTGAAGATGATTTCTAGAAAAAAATAAAATTTAAAATACAATAAAATAAATTTAAAATTTCATAACTGAGAGTGAGAAAATTTTCATCGAAGATGTACCTAATTTTTAGGTACATCTCTTATGAAATTTTATGGTATTATTTTTATTTATTATTAATTTTTAATTTTCTCAGTTATGAAAACATTTCACAAGTGAAATAATATAATAATTAAAAATAATACCATAAAATTTCAAAAATAATTATAGATACCTCTTTCATTTAATGAAATGTTATTTTTTAATGTGTTAATTTTTCCTTATTTTTAATATTAATTGTTTTGTTTCCGTTCCTAGAATTGAAAATAAAAAAAAAGAAAATAATTAATAATTGCAATATGCCTCACACTGAAAAAAATAAATTAATTGTATTTAAAAAATTAAATTAAATATTTATTTAAATAGGACGTAAAAATAAAACTTTTAAAAATGCGACGTTGATGGTCAAAATCAGTCAGAGAATTCAATTTACGGAGTGAAAATTAATTTGAAAATATTTAACAACTTTATCACATTTGTATTTAAAATTGAAAAAGAAAGAAAACAATTCTTGTAAAAATTCATTTTTCATCGGAAAAATATTTTGGCTTCAGACAATATTGTCCTTAACATATATTATTCATAAAAGCCATTAAAAGCTTTTCTAATTCAATAATGTCTTAGTTTTATTGTATTTTGTATGTTACAATTCAGAGCTGATTTTCAGCTGATTTTTACAAAAAATCGATGATTTATATTCTTCAAAGTTTTCTGCTTTTAACTAATATAATCAATAAAGGTTACGCCGTTGAAAACCCTCAAGTTTATATAAAATTAAGGAAGGGTAACAGATGTAAAAAAAAATATTTTTACCATGACTTTCTCAAAAAAAAAAAACATGTCTAAAATAATTTAATTCATTTGTGAACAAGTTCTAAAAGTTTCACTAAAATCTGAAAATTATTTGATTTTTGTAAGAATTTCCAAAACAATGTGTTTTTAACGGCAAAAAAGACGCTAAATTTCCTAATACTAATTCTTTGGCGGGCCCGCTAACGCAAAACAAAACAAGATTTTTAACCAAAATTTCGAACGTTCTAGAAAGGATGAAAGAATGTAATAAAATAATCAAAAAATACTTTGGTCTTTCCTCTTAATAATAGCAAACATTTTGGCAATAAAACTTTGTTTTCATTAATTTTGGAACATTTTTCATCACGGTATGCTGTTTTTTTTTGGTGAATTAGTGGAGATACCTAAAAGGTTAAATATTAATGGAATAAGATTTTTTTTTCTTTTGGAGTTGTGCGTGCGTGCGTGCGTGCGTGCGTGCGTGCGTGCGTGCGTGCGTGTGAAAAAACTGCAGTTTTGATTATATTTTATTTATCCTTTCAAGTCTTTTAATAATTTTTCTAACCTCCGGTTGGTATATGATATGTCCCACATCTGAGTACGTTCGGTTAACATATCACTAGTCATTTTCAAAGATGTTTGTTTTTGCTGTGTCAACAGTTTTAATTTTTAAACATTGCGTTTTCAAAAAAAGTTATTGTTATAACCTTATAAAGCTATAAAACTATTATTATACAAAATACAAAACCTTTCTTAAATAAAATATATTTTGCCACAGAAGACGGTACCTTGAAGTGCATATACAATATTTAAAAAAAATATTCATAATATTGATGCATTCTTTTTGTACAGTTTCACTCCCCGTAACCGTTAGGTATGACGTCAGCGTAGATTATTTTAAACTTTCAGCTTTCTAAAGGACATCAGAATGTAGTCAACAGAATCTTGCCTACCATTCGGAGAGCACATGGTACTTGAAAATGACTAAGACAGTCGAAAGTATTTTGACAACAACAGACAGAGCAAACAAACTCCGAACAGTTTATCCACAATTTCGATTCCAACATAGGTCTTAATTGAAAATTGGAGCAATACAATAAAAATTAAATAGACAGACCTTGTCGATTGAATTTAATCAAACTTATTTGAATGAATACATTTTGGTTGGGGATTGTCTGAACTATTGACACTCTTTTTACTTACTCATGAAATATTCATATCAGCTTTCTTGAAAAGCCAATAAATGAGTGACGGGATACCAGGTTTCTTAATTTGTTGGTTCGAAATTTGACCGATGTGAATATGAAGACTTGATAAGTGACTTGACGTTGGATCTGAAGAAAGTAGAGAAGTAAATCTTGCTGAAGGACTTATGAGTTTTCCTCCTTCCATGGAGACGGGGTAAACAAAAGGTCAGCGCATAAAAGAAAGGGACAATTACCATCTAACACAAAGACACGGCCTGTGGACGCTTTTTTTTTTTTTTTTTTTTTTTTTTTTCAAGCGTCAAATCCCACCAAGGCCGTTATCTTTTTATATTGACAACCATTCAATATTTTATTCCAAATTTATTCAGACACTTATTATTTTGCCTTATAAATATCACAGATATCCCATGTCACGAGTAATCAGCAAATATCAAATTCTTTCATGCGATGATAGTGGTTTGGACTTTGGCTGAACTTTCTATTGATTGCGTTCGTCTTTATTTAGTTCTGCTCAGGCCTGTTCAATCAGGCCATTTCATTTCAATTCCAGTCCTTTCTCCCACACCAGAGAAAAAGAAGGGAAAGCAGAGAAGCTAATGAGGAATGCAAAGTCTTTTTATTATACCTTTGGACTGAATCAATCTCTATTTCTCTCTCTCTCTCTCTCTCTCTCTCTCTCTCTCTCTCTCTTTCTCTCTCTCTCTCTCACACACACACACACTTCCCCCCCTCTCCTCTTCTTTTCTCTCTCATTTTCTCTTCCTCACTCGTCCGCTGGGATTTGTCAGTTTTACCCTCCATTTTTAGTTTTAATCCCTATGCCTTATCATGATGTAGGCGATCACGACACTTCGCAGATTATTATTTTCGTCATCATCTGCGAATTTTCATGACTTCTTCGGAAAGATAGTGGGTTGTTTTCCCCATTTGTCTTGATTTTCGTACCACCACCGAAGTTAAGCAACGCCGAGCATGGTCAGTACCTAGATAAGAGACCGCTTGTGAATACCAGGTTCGAGTGATGTAATAGATAACGGTACAGAATTGGATATCGGAGAGCCGAGTTACAATTCCACTCGGGTTCCTTGGGAAACGTATTAATCCACCTCTTCCCCCCCCCCAGCTATGTGTTAATTAGTAGAACTTGTAACAGTAAATCATTCGTATCAAAAAAAAAATCTTACAGTTTCAAAATACTTTGTGGCTTTAAATAACCTGCAAAAGGTTGATAAGCCATAAAAAAATCAATCAATCAATCAGTCAACTCCATTGTTATCGCCACAATCCAGAATTCAGAATGTTCCTTCTTTTAGACTGGTTCATCAAGATTAGAGAGTTCAGTCTACTTTGCTAACTGGATGGAGTAAAATAAAATAGATTCATGCCTCTCCCAAGAGCATTAGTGCCAAACTTACTGACTCAGAATTTGAACTCGGTTCGCCGATTCCACTTTCAGCGCCTATATCTGTCACAGTGAAAGAAAGAACATTCATAAGGCTGGCTCAACCAGAACAACCTAAGGCTCAATTCATCTGCTAAAGGCTGGAGATATTTATTTATCAGAAGACGGTGTGTGTTTAAGTTCACGAATAAATGTTAAGCATACTGGTAATGGTACGTTAGCTACAGGGGTCGGTGCAAGGGTCTCGTAGCTCCCACCCCGCCCACTCTACTATATCTCAATCTTTATAAGATTAGTATTCATATAAAATACAAAGTTTATTGTAACCTAATTATGTACAATAATGAATCATATGCAATAGAGTTGAACAATTCAACTAGAGAAATTGAAAATAAATACATTGTATCTAAATTCAAATTAGATAATAGTCATAATAGATCATTCCATTTTAAATAAATCAATGTTTTGCGGCAATTTTTAATATCAACTTGCGATTTTTCTTGTTAAAAAGTTGAATAATTTTAATACATTCAACATTATGGATTAAAAAATAGTAAATTTTATATTATATTTTTACGAGACTTAGCATGAGCAAAACAAATTCACGAATTTAGACGAAAAAAAAAAACGAACCCAGAACGACGTCAAAATCCGTGGTAATTTTCATCGTTTAATAGTCATATGCATAGTTTAATGCATAGTTTAATTTGAAATGTACATAAATGTAGGTAAAAAAAGAAAATGTTGATAAGATAGCGAAGGTCACAAAGTAATAACCACCCCTCACCTAATCACTTTTGGGTCCCCGAAGTCGGGGGATTCAGGGGTAGTACGCACCAGTCCTTGTTAGCCAGGTAGGAAGTGTTGCGCCAATCTTACAAATGGAGATAGGTCGCCCGCTTTGACAATCCTTTGAGAATCTAGCTTTTAACCGATCTCGAACACAGACCACTGGTAAATACACAACTGGACTTGTCAAGATTAGTCTAATAATTGCGTATGATTGTTTACTAAGTTTAACTAAACTTGAGGCAAAGCCACGGTAATGTGCCATGTCCCTTCAGGTCGTGGGTGATCATTGCACTCTAAAACTTCCTACCTTTCATATTTGTCCATTTAGTAACTCTCCCACTCCCTGGTATGCCATTCATTTAAACAAGATCATTAGGAAGCTTAGTCGACGTTTCCCTCTACCCCATTTCCCTTCAATATGCTTTGTGAGTGCCAAATTCTCTAAGCCCTCTTTTCTCATTATGAGTCCTAGAAATTTCAACTGTGTCTTTCTAATTCTAAGTACAAGTATCATTCTTGTTCCCGTTTTATTTAAACTTCCTCGTAGCTCACATTTTCTGTCTATGGTATTCTAAGCATCCTTCTGTAAAACCACGTTTCTATTACCTCAGTTTTCCTGTCCATCAATGAGAGAATTGTCCAGCATTGACTGTTATATAGGAGGATAGATATTATATAGCAGTTGGGTCTACGAAATGATTTTGCTGTCCAGGTGCTTTCTAAATTGATTATATATGAATATATGTAGGTACCCCGATTTATTCACTAAGAAATAAGCATACCATGATGAAAAAATGTCACAAAGTTAAAAAAAAAAAAAAAAAAAAAAAACAGTTTTATCGTCAAATTCTTTGTTATTATTAAGAGGAAAGACCAAAGGATTTTTTGATTATTAAATTATAATTTTTTTATCCTTTTTAGAACGTTCGAAATTTTGGTTAAAAATCTTGGCAAAAATTACTATTGGAAATTTTAGCGTCTATTTTGCGGTGAAAAACATTGTTTTGGAAATTTTTGCAAAAATCAAATAATTATCGGATTTTAATGAAATATTCAGTACTTATTTTTAACATTTTTTTTATTTTAGAAAATCTTGGTAAAAAATCTTTCTTTATATCTGTTACCCCCTACACACGCACACACTTATTTAGTTTTATGAAATTTCGACAAATTAAATTTTGTGCAGCTTGATTTTTGTATAAGTTAAAAGCAGAACTCCTTGGAGAATATAAATCATCATTTTCTTTGTGTAGAACAGAATCCCCAGTTACCGAA